ACCCCTTAAAAAAAAAAAAAAAAAAAAAGGTGACTTCCAAACAAACAGAAAAACTGGGGACTCAGGAGGAGTCCTGTTACGGGTAAGCCAGGTGAAGCAGCTGTCGAACTGGGGCCTCCTCCGCGGGCACAGTGTGGGGGACAGGGAAAGGCCCTCTGACACTGCAGCAGGAGAGGTGGACGTGAGCTGTGGTCTTGGGTGAAGCTTTACAAGAACTGGGTGGGAGGGGCAGGCGGCATCGGCCTGGGAAGAGCGAGAGCCGGGCTGTGGCATCTGGGACTCCCGGGACCCTTCTCGCAGCCCCACCTTCCTGGCGGGTGTTGGGCCGCTGGTGAGTGTGGTACGGATTCCTGGGGTTCAGGTCCAGGTCTGGGTCGTCCCTGCCAGCCTCCCACCATCCTGCTGCTACCCTGCCTCTCAGTGACAGCTCTGTCATCCGTTTCCTGTCTGCTTCTGTGAGCTTCCCAAAGGTCGCAGCTGTTTCTTCAGCTTCTCCACCGCCTTAGGCAAATGGTTCAGGTTCAAATACAAGTTTTCTGACCCCATATTTCCAAGGGCCAACATCTTCAGACCCGAAAGTCACTAGCATGTCAGAGGGAGTCTGCGTCCTGCTTTGGGGCACGTATTCCCAGGGGACAGGCAGAAGAGCCACGGGCAAGGCCAGAGCCCCCTTCGAGACCTGTGCCCCAGCACCTGAGGCTGTCAGCTGGCGATGTCAGAGCCCGCGTGACAGGTGGCCAGCGGCAGCACAGGGGGTGCACGTGGGACCTCAGAGTTCCACAGTGCGGGTGTCCTTCCTGGTGATGCACGGAGGTCCCTAGGATGAGCTCCTGCAGCGACCTGGGGTGGCAGCCTTGATAGCGGCCCCCAAAAGCTAAACCCACACGCTGACCTGGAACCTGTGATGGGGGCCTGGGAGGAGTGGGGTCTGTCCCAGGGCGCCATGCCCAGTGTCGAGGGTCTCCACAGGGGACAGAAGGGGACAGAAGGGGACAGGGAAGGGGAGGGACGCTGGAGATGGAGCCACAAGCTGGGGCAGAAGGACAAGGAAGGGTGCAGCCTGAAGGCCCAGGGAGCCCAGCCTGTGACACCCTGGTTTTAGGACTTCTGCCTGCGACGCCTCAAGAGCGAATTTCCACGGCTTCAAATGCCCCGGTTCTCAGTATTCTATCATTGCAACCACGGAAATGGTTGGCTTCACATCTACAGTGAATTCTATCTGTAGCTCGTTCTTTTTTATTTTTGTTTTTGGGTTGTTTGAGACAGAGTCCCGCTATGCAGTCCAGGCTGGCCTTGAACTCACAGCGATCCTCCTGCCTCAGCCTCCCGAGTGCAGGGATCACAGGCGGGCACCTCCATGCCCAGCTCATATGCTGTTCTCAGTACTCACATCTCCCTCCAGCGGTCACCGCCACCAGCGAGATGAACTTCTCGCTGGCACTGACGCTTGGTGGCCGTGCCTGAGGGCCACGGGGTGGGGCGCAGGCACCGTGGCCTCCATGGCTGTCAGCCCTGCTTTTTGAAGCACCCCACCCTTTGGTGTCCTGTGCTCCTTGTCACCCGCTGTGAAGCAAGTGGCCCAAGGGTGCTCTGGGACGTGGAGAGGCCTCCAGGGCTCAGGGCTTCGCCTCCCGCTGAGCCTCCTCATGCTCTCCACTTGTCCTGAGTGCACGGCCCGCTGGGTTCCTCTGCTCAGTGTGACTGTCACGGTCCATGTCCAGATCCCCCCAGGCCCCTGTGAATTCCTGTGCAGGGCTTTGAGAAGGCGATGAATGAGTGGCGGGGTCTGCAGCTGACGCCGTTAGGAGGTGAGGCCTGGCGACCGGGTGGTCACTGGGGTGGCCGGAAGTGTTCCCCTCCCTCCCCGGCTCTGCCCCACTTCTGCGTCCCGGCCAGATTCCTCCCTGTTTAGCTGTCGAGTCCCAGGCCAGCAGATGGCCGAATGTTGGAGCTAACAGGGGTCAGACCCTGGCCTCTCGGCAGCCCTGCTCCCTTCTGTCCTGAGACACTGCTTGCCTGGGGTTTTCTGCTGGCCCCAGCTGTTCTGCTGTCCCCTTCCTGTGCTGTCCTTTTACTGTGATGGTGGCTTGGCCGCCACCTCTATGCGGACGCCTTCCCCATGCGCAGGTGCAGGGCTGCAGAGGTGACAGCCAAGTCTGTGTCATGGCCTGGTCATCACGGCCAGGGCCACCTCCGGACACTGAGGGATCGTGGCACAGGCCCGAGTCACACTCCGGAGCCCTACTGCCTGCCATCTGTGACAGGTCTCCGGGCCCCGGCGCCTGCCATCTGTGAGGCACGGCCTTGGCCCCTCCCGCCCGGCCTGGGCCACTCACCCCCAAGTACTCCGTGGTCAGGAGCTTCTCGCCCGAGAGCTCCCCGAGCTGGGGCTGGATCAGCTCGTCCTTGTCCAGGTCGGCTTCCATGGTGTCGTGGCCCTCCTGTTCCGAGGGGACAGAGTGAGTGCAGGGCCTGACAGCATCACAACCCCGGCCACCCAGCTCCCCTCCCCACGACGGCGGGCAGGGACAAGGCCACCCCCACACACGGGGAGCCAGGCGAGCGTCCTGCAGTGGCAGGTCTCTTCCCAACCACAGCGCCGCCGGTGAACAGCCACAGTGACCTCGGCACTCGCCCTGGCCTGAGGGGACCAGGAGGCCTCGCGACAGGCCTGTCCTTTAGGAGCTTTGCGGTCAAGAAGGAAGTCAGCGCTCCGGTCTCAGCCACAGAGGCTGAGGACAGGGATGTCATCCCGTGGGAGGTGCCCCACACGACACACATGCTGTGTCACCACCTTCAGTGTCGTCCTGAGGCAAAGGCAGCCACCCCACTAAGTACAGGAGGAGGTGCTGGCGGAGAGCAGGATGGGCCAGATGCGGCACCCACCCCCAGCCATCATACATGTCAGATTCAGGCCTGGCTTCCAGGACGAGGGACACCAAGCCCAGGGGACAGCCAGTGCTGTGTCGCTGACCTTAAGAATGCCGGGGTCAGCCTGGCAGGGTGGCGCACGCCTGTAATCCCAGGGCTTGGGAGGCTGAGGCAGGAGAGGTCAAGGCCAGCCTGAGCTACATGGTGAGTTCAAGGCCAACCCTGGACAGAGTGAGACCCTGACTCAAAAAACCAACCTCCCACCAAATAAAGAATGCCGACAATCAGGCTCACAGCAGGTCCTGTTGAAGCGATCCAGCTGTGGGTTTGTTATGGAGACCCTAGGGAGCCCCTTTCCCCTGCAAGCCAGGCAGGTGCTCTGCCTCGCAGGCTCCATCTCAGGCCTGAAAGGTTCTGTTTCTGTTCGGGGAAGACCGGTGGGTGATCCTTTCCCCATTCCTCCCAGCCTGAACTCACACCCCACCTGAAGGGTGGACAGTGTGACCCTGGGACGTGAGGACCAGCAGGAAGTGAGTTCCTCGGGTTCCCTTCCCGCCTGTGTATGTCAGACTGGGAGCGGACGAGCAGACAACCCAAATAACAGTAGTGGGGACAAAAAGACTCCCCGCAAAGCCACTTCCTCAATCCAGAGGGCCAGGAGAGGGGGTGATGAGCATGACCAATACCACAGAAAACACTGGGGCCAGTGGCCACCCACGCCTCTAGGTGGGTGGGGAGGGACCACACCCCTTCTACGCAGGGAGGAGGCCTGTAATCCTGGCACTCTGGGACTCAAACCCAGCCTAGGCAATTTAGTGACTGAGACCCTGTCTCAAAAATTTAAAAAGTCCTAGGATGTAACTCAAGCAAAGGCCTGGGTTCAATCCCCAGTGTAAAAAAAATGGAGAGAAAGAGGGGATTTGGCTGGAGTTCTGCTGCCTGCCTCACAAGCGCAAGGGCCCGACTTTGATCCCTGATACTCCCCCAAATTAATTTGTCTCTTTGGGGACAGTGATTTAGCTCAGTGGTTCTGCTGCCCTGCCTCGCAAGCCCAAGGACCCAAGTTCGATCTCCTTTACCAAAAAAAGGGAGGGGGAGGAGGAGGGAGAGAAAGAAAAATAAAATAGAAGACTGAGGAAACAGAGAGCTGGTTCTTTGAAAGGGCTCATAAAATTGACAAACCTCTGGACAAATTACCAATATTGAGAAGGAAATAGCACAAGGAGGGATGACTAAAAATAACTCTACACACCTTAAGTGTGACAACTTAGAAGAAAAATCACTAGTGACCAGCCTCTCAGCACGAAGATCAAGCAGTCCTATAATTATTAAGAAGACAGAATTCAAAAAGGAAAAAAAAAAGATGAATTTCTTTAGCTTAAAAGTTCTTATAAAAAGAATCTCCAGGCCCATGTGATTTTTGCTGAAGAAATCTATCAGGCTTTTACTGAAGTAATATCAATTCAGCAAACAGAAGAGGAAGTAACATTTCCTAATTATCATATGAAGCTAGTTTTGCCCTGGTACCAAACCAGGCACTGACAGTGCACAAGAAGGAAAATACAAACCTCTCTCACAGATACATTGCAGAAATTCTCAACAAATTATGGAATCCAGTAACATATTAAAAGACTTATATGCCAAGACTCAGTGGGGTTTGTCCAGTGAGGCAAGATTGGTTCAATATTTAAAACTTAAACCAGATGCGGGGGAGGTACACATGTAATCCTAGTTTTACGGGAGGCCGAGGCAGGAGGATCATAAGTTGGAGACAGGCTGGGGCAATTTAGCAACCCTGTCTCCAAATAAAAAAATTAAAACTAGCCAGGTGTGGTGATGCACATCTGTGATCTCAGCATTTGGGAGTTTGAGGCAGGAGGATGGTCAAGTTCAAGGCCAGCCTGGTCTACATAGTGAGTTCAAGGTTAGCCTGAACTGCAAAGTGAGGCCCTGTCTCACTCTCTTCATAAAAGGGGTGGGGACGTATCTCAGTGTGAAGGGCCTGGGTTTAATCTCCATTAGTGTAAATGCATTTTTTAAAAAGATGAAAATAAAGAAACATGTAAAATTTAATCCTTATAACAGTGTAGGGGAAAAAAAATCACACATCACACATGGATTGTAAAAAAGCATGTCAGGAGCAGGGATTCAGCTCAGTGGTTCCGCCACCTGCTTTGAAAGCACAAGGACCTGAGTTCGATCCCCGGTGCCCCCGCCCACCAAAAAAAGCGTGTAAAAAAATTTAATACCCAAAATGACAAAAACTGTCACAAAAATAAGAATAGAGGGCTACTTGCTAAAAAGCAGTCAAAGAACATCTAGGCAGACATTATACTTAGCTAAGAGCAAGCTGCTCTGCCCCAGGTCCGCCCACGGCCTTTGGTGGCCCTGGCAGCACTTGCTGTGGGGACAGCCAGCTGCCAACCGCCCCGGCCCGGTCACCGTGCTGTCTCTGGAGCACCAGGGGCTCGCTCCTTACACCCCCGCACATTGCTTGCCCGGCGGCCACTACACTGCCTCGGTGCAGATGCCTTTTATTGAACCCATTCTCGTGGGAAGCAAACAGAGGCCCAGAGCAGCAACAAGCCCAGGGCGACAGTCCAGAGCCTGGCCAGCCCCTCACTCCCCGGCGCCTGTTGTGATTGCTCAACAGGGCACAGGGAGGGAAGGGCCCATCCGTCTGTCCCTGCTCTTGTCTGATCACAAATGGCAAATCCACTCTTGTCCTGGCCAGACTGCAGGTCTCGCGGCCCCCATGAGCCGTGTCCTGGTGTTAGTAGCGGCCCCGTGCCCCGGAGTCCCCAAAGTCAACACCACCCTAGGCCAGACCCCCACTGCTCCCGCTGGGCGCTGAGTTTACCAAAACATCAACATCTGGGCGACCCGGCCCTGTGAGCAAAGCAGCGCTCCTTGGGAACAGGCGCGGTGTGCTGGGGCGCGGCTAAGGTTTCTACAGTCCCCGGGGGATGGGCCTCGGAGGCCCTGGCTGGAAACCGGCATGTGAATCACAGGTCCGCCCAGGTATTGGTGACTCGCCACTTCCCTGCCAGGAGGGAACACGAGCCGCCCAGGCACACAACAAACCCCACATTCCACCAGAGAGGAGGAGGCCAATGGCTGACCCCGGCCAGGGCCAGCAGAGGTGTTTCTTCCTGACAGAAAGCGAGAACATACGTAGGAGTCATTCACTTGCAAATCACCCTATGCATCCTGGCACTGCCCGCTGCTGCCTCAGAGCCTCAGGGTGGATGGCCAGAGCAGTGAGCAAGATGCACTTAAATATGTGCCTGCTCAATTTTTGTTTTTTTAATTAAAAAGTTAAAACTTTTTTTAAAAAAGTAGGCAGAGTGGTACACTCCGGTAATCCCAGCATTCACAAGGCTGAGGCAGGAGGATTGCCACGAGTACGAGGCCAGCCTGGAAAACACAGACCCTGTCTCAAAAAACAAACAAACAAACAAACAGAAGTCAGACCTCCCTGCAGTCCCCTGGGTTCCGGCACCTGGGAACAGGATGTGCAGGCAGGGCCTTGGGTAAGATAGAGGGGTCCCCCAGCGGCCGTGGGAATCGGAAACGCAAAGCCTGCTGGGAACGATGCTTGCCAGGTGGCCACTTGTTCTGCTTTCTGAGCTGGTGCCGTGTGGCACCAGCAGGAAGAACTCTCCCACGGGGTGATGGCCCATGGACCAGTCGGCAAGTGGACGGGATGCTTTAGGGGCTTCTCTGCATGGCAAACAAAGGCCAAAGGAAGGGCCAGGGATTTAGCTTGGTGGCACGGGTCCTGAGTTCAATCCCCGGTACCAAAAAACAAAACAAAACAAACACTTGGATACGAATGCCGAAGGAAGCCTCAAGGCGCTAAACAGTTTACTCTGTGAAGTAAGAGGGTTACGGACAAGGAACTGCTCTGTGCATAAATACCTCGTGAGCGTGCGTCTAAAACGCCATTGTTGGAGGAATTTTACTGAAATTACTGGCCCGTATGCGCTTGGCAGAGTGCATCGGGTTACCCACCAGGAGCTCAGTGATAACTGATTACTCCGGAATTAAGCATGGCTCGTAGAAGGCACCTGAGCCGAGATGAATGTCAACGTTCCCATACGAGGCTTCCCCGCCGTGGCTCTGCGATCCCGTGACACCGCACGACTCTTAACTGGTCTCTCGATACATAATACTCCAGGCCAACCAGCTTCCAGGCAGCTGGCCTGAAAACAAGACTAAGGCTGACCACTCAATGCGTCTGAAAACTCAGATCCTCGCAGATATAAAGCAGAGAGTGGGACGCATTCAAGGGGTTTCACAGGTGACAGGTGAGAGTATCCAGTGTGCTGGCCCCTTGAAATAATGACAGGACTTCTGTGAGCGGTTTAAACCCGAGACAGCCTCTCCGAATGCGGAATTGTAAACCTCACTCTTTGTGAAAATACAGGAACCCTGTGCTTGGGGGAGCCAGGGTGGCCCGAGGTGAGCAGGCAGGCAGTGGGATCCATGCTCTCCCTGTGGTGGCCCCCGGCCGTGTCTGCCCTGCTCTGTGCCCAGGCCCCAGGCTGCAGGAGGACTCGTGTCTGTG